CTGAGACTAGTGCTAAACCAGCCCAGTGATCTACCGTTCCTGGGGGGTCTGCTAGGCAGGGAAGGGGAGCACTGCCCTGAGACTAAAACACAACAAAGAAATAAAAGATGTTGGCAGTGGTGCTTTGTTAGCAAAGTACATAAAAGGCTAACTTGAAAGCCTACGAAAAAGTGAAATAAATCAGTTCAGGAATGTATTTAGATTTTTCCTTCTTCTCTTCATGCAGGAGTTTGTGCTTTCTCCCCGGGTATAAGCACTAGTGTTACTTTCATGTGGTAATAAATGATTGTGGGATCAGCTGTAAGTTGAATAAGGGATGCCCATCAACTCAGGACAGTGCGTAAGTGCAGTGATATTGGTTTTTTATGGCTTCCTGTTGTCATCAATAAAAGAGATACTATGTTAGGTCCAGTGACTGCTAAAGCCCATACGTGAGTTGACCCCACAGCTTTGGGAGGAAGGGTAATTGTCAGGAAAAAGTAAGTTTTTCTATGCTGCCATGTTTCTTGTCCATGTCTTCAGTTCTGCCTTTGCAAACTTTTGTGTGATACCTGTTCCTGCTGTCACCACTCCTCCCACTGCTCCTGCTGCTCCCCTCCGCCTGCCCACAGCACCGGTGGCTGGAGGCAGTAGGAGAAGCAGAAGGATGAGGAGCGGGAGGAGTGAGTTCCCCCTCCATGTTTCTACAGGGGCCAAATGAGCAATAGACACCGCAAGATTTACGGCATGGGTGATTTCTATGATGCTCTTAAGAGGGAAGAAAGATCAATTTATAATAAAACCAGCATGGCTGGTACTGCATCTCACTTCAGTGCATGAGGATAGCAAATGTGGGCACTACGCATCAAACTCAGGTTTTTTGGACACTAATGTAAATCATGCCAGGCTCCCCTGGCTGAGAAAAAAGCATCCACTGCTATATTCACAGTTGATGATTTCATGCGCTTATCTATGACATGACTTCACGTTTTTCCCGTAGTGAGATTATCTTGTGAAAAAACAAAGCCAAAGTCACAGAATCACCCTGAAAACGATCACCAGAGCAAGAAGTGACTTAGGCCCTACCTGAGAAAGCAAGTTACCTTTCAAGGGAGTTAACAGCGTTGCAAGTAGTCCTAGCAATACAGAGCTAAGAAATGCTGGAGAAGAAACTCATTTCCTCTCATACTGGAGCTGCTGATGTTTCAGCTCTTTTCCCCGGCTCCACACAGGGGTGAGCATTCACTGTTCGAGGTGATACACCACGGCTGGATTAGCCCGGCTTCAGCTTTGACATTGAGATCCCTGGGGGCAGCTCCTACAAAAAGTTTTGATTTTGACAGTCAACATTTTCCAGTGAAATGGCTTTCTGCCAGAGGACTCCTGACCACCACTAGGTTTAAGTTTGCCACTGTCAAGCAGGCAGACAGTTCCAGGCTCTAAGTACCTTTGAAGACCAACAAACTTCTTGGAGCCACTGGAATGCCTGGCATTTGTATTTTAAAACTTTCATGTAAGCAGGCTATTTGAGCCAGAGGACATGTAAGCACCAGTCCTGGAATCCAAGAATCTCTACTTTGTTCCTGAATTATGAGGACATGTTGCTTCTTCTAAACAGCTGAAGTCTTGTGCCTTTCACAAGGTTCTCAGAGCTACCAGCTGGGTCGCTGAGATACAACTTTCGGCTTTTATGCCACTTGTGATTCTGAATCAAAAAAACCTGGTGACTGTTTCAATTTCACAGTGTTCTCAATAATGGAAACTACCCATGAGAATAACTACCTGCAGGACTCAGTCCTTTAAAGGTATAACAAAATCCTTTTCATTTTTTAAAGTACCTTCTTTCACTTCCTGCTTCTGGTCTTGATTTTCCGTCTCCAAGTCATCCTGTGCTTTTGGCTCCACCATCTCTTCATCATCTTCATCCTCTAAAAAAAAGGAAGAAAAAGATTTGTGAGATTCTCCTCTTTAAGGGGGATGGAAATTGTGTATCTTCTTTATGATTATAAACTGGTAGTAAACACAGGTAAAGCCAAGTGCACAATACATGGAAACAGCTACATTTATACTCAGAGTGACAGGCTCAGACATTTCCCCCAGACTGCAAGATAATCTGCTAATTCAGGGCACCTGCCACTTCTGCTCCCTGTAGCAACTTTCCATCTCAGATGTCAGCTGAATATCTCCCTGACCTCAAAGATGACTTCTTGGATGGCATAAGAACAGATGCAAACATGTTTCAGCCTGGCAGCTATTCCACAGTTGGGACACCTGCTATCCAGACACCTCATTTCCAATTCAATTCTCACCAGATTAATTTGTCTTTTGACCTACAGGAAGGGGTTAAATAGAAATCTGACCTCAGGTCAGATGCCACTAGCAAGCAAACAAGCATGGTACAGTTCTGAAAAGTCATCACCATCAAATGGGGGAACGTAGCAACCAAAAGTGGCATTTGGAGCTTAAGAACCATTCTTGCATTAATACGAATTTAATGAACACTAAAATTTGACACATGTCAGTTACTACTGCCAGATGTTTTAATGACCTTTCCTGACCTATGCAAATGCCTCTCTTCCTTCCCCTCTCTCCCCATGCTCACATGTTCTCATTTTATTCAGGAGGGCAAACCATTCATTCCTTTCCTTGATGTCTGTTTGAACTTACAAGGGTTCTGATTGTCCAGACCAAAACAGAATACAGCAGAGCTAGAAAGACAGTGATGCACCAAAATGGCTCAAAGCCTACTTAACCCTCATTATTTGTTCCCAGCTACAGCAATATGATTCATTCTCCAGTGCCCAGGGCTGGCACCCAACCACTCACACTCATAGAATCATAGAATGGTTAGAGTTGGAAGGGACCTCAAAGATCATCTCGTTCCAATCCCCCTGCCATGGGCAGGGAAACCCTCCACTACACCAGGTTGCCCAAAGCCTCATCCCACCTGGCCTTGAACACTTCCAGGGATGGGGCATCTACAACTTCTCTGGGCAACCTGTTCCAGTGCTTCACCACCCTCTGAGTGAAAAATTTCTTCCTTATATCTAATCTAAATCTCCCCTCTTTCATTTTAAATCCTTCATGAGAAGGTAGGGACGCTCAGCTTTCTAGATTCAGTGAACTACAAAGACTGAAAACAGAGCCGGCCCTAAAGGAGCGAGTTACAGTAATTAGAATGAGCAAATCTGTGGGCTATGCAGGAATTATTCTGGAGTGATTCTGGAGCTTGATGTACCATCAAGGCACAGCAGGCACCACTGGTGCCCTGGGTTGGTCCATCATGTGAGAGAAGGCATGTTGGCCTGGCCCTGGGGCATTCAGCTGTCAGCAAAACTGCTGCAGCTCCTTCTGAGCAATTTGCATGTCATGACATAGTTCCTCGCGACATGGCACTTCTCCAGGCACACTCCCTGCTCTAACACTGCCATGTTAACATGGCCTGGGGCAAGTGGTAACATGTCACACTTCTTCAATGGCTCAGCTACTGGCACCTTTTCCTGCGCAGGCTGCCTGCAATCAGCCCTGGCTTCTTGGGGAAATGATGGTGCTGACAAGTCGCATTCAACCAACAGTAACACACAGCTGTATTTTGTTTTCAATAACATAATAAGCATCATACTATCCCCACCATGTTGCCTACTCTAGGACTTCTTCCCCCAGAAGCCTGCAGAGCGCATGTTCCTAGCTGGAGACATCTTGGCTGGAGAGCACGGCTTAGCCACATACCGTAAGGAAGTGTCTCAGCATGGACAGATACGTTTTTCGCTCTTGGGAAAAAGAGGAAATCTTGGCATAAAATCTGCCATCGCTCCCCTTACCATTAGAAACTGCAGCGAGGAGAATGGGGAAAGCTCGGCTCCCCAGCTGTCAGGGAGGAGGGATAACCACATGCTCCCCAGGCTGAGAAGCAAGGAGGAATACAGCACAGATAGGGAGGCATTTCCAGAATAGAAAGCACTGCTACTGAATGCCACCTCTTTATCAGGGATTTTTCAAACTGTGAGAGGAAACAGCCACTTGGAGTGGGGTAAAGGCAGGGTATTCATGATGCCTCCCTTCGATGCCTCGCTTGGCAATTACGTTTCCCTAGGTACCCTATATCAGAGGGCTATAGAGGAGAGCTTTTAGAGATTAAGCCAGGGCGTTTCAGTTCAGCAGAGTAAACACATCGGTCAGTCCACTGGCTGAAAGGTAGATAACATCCAACGCAGTCAGCAGAGTCAGTGAGAAAAGCTCACCTGCTGTAGACACATAGGAGGGGGAAAACAAGGTCCTGCTGCCATTGGTCTGCGGCACTAGGGGAGATGGGGATGTATGAAAGAGAGAGGCACTCCCAGTTTCAAAGAACAGATGAGAGGTGTGAGGAGATCCTGAGAAGAGTGACCGGAGCAGCAGCGAGCGAATACTCTGCTAACCTCAGGTACGTATGCACGCACAGATAGGATCACAACGGTGTACAGATATATGCACACAGACACACTTACGGTAGATACCTAATGAAGCCAACTCCCACAAGAGTTCCGTGAGTCTTGTATTACAAGTTTTCATTCCCTAGAGCACCAGATCTTGGAGCCAGCTGTTTACATATGGATTTCAGCTTCCATTTTTAACCTGTTTCCAACCTGTCTGCTTATGCAGGGAAGTTTCGAAAGGGTTTGAAAAAACTTGCAGGAAGCAAACCAAAAATAAACCAGTATTTAATTGAAAATCTTGGGATTTTTAAGGCAGTATGCTATGCTTTTTAATGCCTCACTTGTAATTTGGTACTGAATAGGGACAATGTAGCAAATGTAGAACTTGAGATTTAGTAGCAGGTTTTCAGACCAAAGGGAAGCAAATTTATCCCTGTCCCCTAGAAGTCCTTAACACTCCAGATTTTGGGTGTATCAAACTGTTTGCCTGCCTATTGTCTGTTCCTGCTTCCAAAGCAGAGAAGGAATGAATGACTGAGGCACAGCTGGAGCAGGGGGCATGTACTGATACTTCAGCATCAATTAAGGTAGATCTTCTTTACTTCCCTTCCTTCCTCTTCTGGGAGCAATCAAACCCAAGTTTCCCTAGATTTCTCTAGATTTAATTGCAGCAGGAGAAATAAGTAAAGGTTATTAAACACATGCCATGCCTTTTTCCCAAGAGCACGCACATCAGTAAATTAGCTTTACTGGAAAGGCCGCGTGAGAGTTTTTAGCAGGTTAGGCACAGTTCAGATGTCCTTATTTATTTACAGAGAAATGTATATGCATACTCAGAGAAACTCAGCTAAAAGAATGATACAGTTGTGAGCCAAATGAGAAAGTGTTAGTAAATGCCAGAATTTGGATTGCCTGGGCACGATTAGCTCCTTCCCCCTTCCCCCGCGTAGGCATGATGACATCATTCTGGAATTTCCTCCCTCTTGAGTGCTTGACCTCATTTTCTGGGTGCTCTACAAGAGACACCTGGGGCCTGAAACGAAGAAGTGCTGAAGTCAACTGGGTCTGTGATTTGAGTGGAGAAAGCGCGAGGGAAATGCTACGCATGCGAAAGCTCCCATGTCTCTCACTTTTCGCTTTCCTTGAAAGTTGTCATTCTGACATTTTTGCCCTTTCTTGCCCCATGCTTCAGTGCTTATGCATGATGGCAATAATATCGTGAAGATAATAGTATTCTGCACAGATGGGTTGCAGAGATATGTTCATCAGGATTCAGGACATATTAAGATGCTGTCATGGGAGCACCAGAGAAACAAAAGCTTGAAAGGGGATTAACATTTTCTGTGTTCAGTGTAACACTTGGACCATGTGCATTAACATGAGATCTAAGGCTAGAACACTAAACTGAAGAAGATAAAAACCAGAAGGATTAAAAAACTGACTCCTCATTGACTGGCAGAAACAAGAATCTGTTAAGAAAAAACCCCCTACATGTTATCGTAATTAAAACTGTATCATCATACATATTCAAAAGGGCTAATTACGGATGCCCCGGAAGCCTGCATTCTGGAATATCCAATGTTGCTTGGCTTTGCAACCTGAATGTTTTTTTCTTTTTTTTCTTTCTTTTCTTATTGTGCACTATTTAATGCCAATGTATGCATACTTACACATGTTCATAGTACATACATTTGCTATTGTGCCTAAAGTATGGTTATACATTTGTACATTTGACTGTGCACATACACATACATAATGGGAAATGTTTTGGCATTTGTTTTCCTGTGGTTTACTTACATGTGAGAAAGATAACATTTATGGTATATTTATTGGAGAATCTATGAGTGTCTACATGGTTATTTGTTTTCACGTATGCCTGCTCAGAATGGATGTGCCATCGCAGTAATTGTCCAGGGAGATGAATACAAATAGCCTTCCCCTATTTAAGAGCATATCTGACATTGGGTTTAGAAAAACAACTTTTTAACCACTTACATCACAGTAGTAGGAGTCTTCTAGTTACATTTGGCAAACAAGAGTTGCTACCAGCACCAGTAGTGTTACACCCTGTTCAGAAGATCTAAATCAGAGCCCAGATGTCTATGAAAGGAACCACATGAAAAAGAGCTAGCTGTGTAACATTTCTCCTTTGTAGATCTCAAAAGACTTTGTAAGGAGGCCAGTTTTATTATGCCCATTTACCACGCAGAAGCTGACAGATAGACCCACTCAATGTAGATCACTCAGCAGACCAGCAGCTGAGTGAAGCATATAGGGCTGACTTCAGAGTTTCAGGCTAGAGTCCTGCCCACTAAGTCCACCCTGCCTTTCACTGTAAATAAACAATTCCTCAATGGAGATGATCATTAAATGCTTAGGTTAAAGATGTTTATCTGCTGAAGCTGGTGGAGCCATACGTGGAATTAATATAGAGTAAGATAGCTGAACCCAATACCGTTTCTTTTGAACTCAGAGCTTGACGACTCGCCAGGCTCTAGGAGGTGGCCAATCAA